CTAAACGAAGCCGAGGGCTAGCCACCCAAATCAGCACTTTTAAGGCCCGGGCCCCGCCGAGTCCTACGACGCGCCTGTTCTTCCGAAAGGTCCAAAAAGGCTACGAAGTGCGTGAATTCGAGTTGGCTACGGCCCAGCAAAAAATCAGGCAACTAGAGGCCGAATTGGAGGCGCAACGCCCTCGCAAAAGGAAAAGGGTTGTGCCGGACCCCAACCAGGCCTTCGTAGATATACGCCGAGTTGCAGAGACAAGGGGTGATGCTATAGAGGTGGAGGAAAGTGCGTCTGAAACAGCGGAAAATTCTGATCAGGAATCAGTACACTCTTGCATCATGGTTGGTTGAATAGCGGTAGATATTTGCAGTTGAATGCACCGGGTTTGGTGGTGCAGTGGGCCCCGGCCAGGTGGCCGGAAGGGGGGGTGGCCGACAGGGGGTACTCCGACTTATCCAGGGGCAGCAATCGCCGAAACTCATCGCCATCACCATTCCTTAGGATAGAGTTTGCGTATTCAGCAACATAAACACAGGGCTTAAAATGGGCTGCGAGCGGATGATATAATGGCCCCTTGCGTTCCCTATGCGGTTCGATACAGCTGTCAAATCCGGCACCGTCCGCCATATGCCAGAGAGATGATGCCGAGGTGCAAGTCGTATGGCCGGCGGGTTAATGTTGGTTTTAGAAGCGTCTTTGGGAGGCGCTCCGGAATCTTATCAGCCGGCAGGCCCGGGAATGGTTGGGACTATTTCCCAACACCCGCGATCCTTGGGTCTCTATTGGCGGCCCCTCCGAAGATTTCCGCCAACCTACCCATGGAGCCCGTCCCCGTCAATGCAGCTGGGAGCTGCCGGTTTCGCCTCCCTCACCTCTGGCTGGAGGCGTACCAATTAGGTACTCTCACCAAAGCGCGTTGAGGTGGTAGGTATCAGGCAAGAAAGCCCTGGCCTTACCAAGTAGGTTGGTGGGCATTGCTCGTGGCTGCGTTGCCCGGCCCTCAGAGGTCGCAGAGGTCGCAGCACCCACCTTTGTTCCCCATTTTTCGAGTTGTCCGATAGGGAAGGCCAGCTCTAGAGACAACCCACCACCACACCGCATCTGTAAACCACACACTCTGTCACCCACCACTCCCTCTCCAACAATCCTGCCTGCCCTAATCCGTTGATATAAACGCATACGCCCCCCAACCACACTGCACTCGCCGTGGTGCCCAGTCTCCCGTCACCACACCAGCCCCTTCCCTTTGTCGCCGGCTTCTACCAAAGTTGTCGATACCCGCTCCTCCCTCTCAAGCCATCGGGGCCCCAGCGAGGAAGACAGTAAAGGGAAGCCCCCCAGCATACTGGCATGAGACCCCACGGCCGGCATTTGCTAGCCATGGCGGCGCCGTCGTCGTCGTCACCGTCTTCGAAACCCGTGGGGGCCGTTGCCTTCCCGGACGGTACTACGGACTTCAAGCCGATGAGGTCCAGCAAGTCCTACGACCCTAAGAAGCCGCACATCTCGGAGGAGCCCATGACTTTGAAGAACTGGCACCAACACATCAACTGGCTCAACGCCACTTTTATCCTATTCGTGCCGCTCTGTGGCCTCATCTCCACCTACTGGGTTCCCCTGCAACTCAAGACTGCCATATGGGCCGTCATCTACTACTTTAACACCGGCCTAGGCATCACTGCCGGTACGTGTCTTGCCAGGATTTACAGGAGTGAACGTCTAGGTTTAGCTCTTTATTGCTGACCCGTAATTGCAGGCTACCACCGCCTTTGGGCGCACAGCTGCTACAAGGCCTCCCTGCCCCTCAAGATCTACCTCGCCGCCGTCGGCGCTGGCGCCGTTGAGGGTTCCATCAGGTGGTGGTCAAACGGCCACCGCGCCCACCATCGTTACACCGACACCGAGAAGGACCCCTACTCGGTCCGCAAGGGCCTGATGTACGCACACATAGGCTGGATGCTGCTGAAGCAGAACCCCAAGAAGCAGGGTCGAACCGACATCACCGACTTGAACGAGGACCCGGTGGTGGTGTGGCAGCACCGCAACTTTATCAAGTGCGCCATCACTATGGCGCTCGTATTCCCCGCCGTCGTTGCCGGCCTGGGTTGGGGGGACTGGTGGGGTGGCTTCATCTACGCCGGCATCCTGCGTGCCTTTTTCCTTCAGCAGGCCACCTTCTGCGTCAACTCCTTGGCCCACTGGCTCGGCGACCAGCCCTTCGACGATCGCAATTCGCCTCGCGACCACGTCGTCACCGCGTTAGTCACCCTCGGCGAGGGCTACCACAACTTCCACCACGAGTTTCCCTCAGACTACCGCAATGCCATTGAGTGGTACCAGTATGACCCCACCAAATGGTCCATCTGGATCTGGAAGAAGCTTTGGCTGGCCTCCAACCTGAAGCAGTTCCGCCAGAATGAGATCGAGAAGGGCCGCCTGCAGCAGCACCAGAAGAAGCTGGACCAGAAGCGCGCCACCCTCGACTGGGGCATTCCGCTGGAACAGCTGCCGGTTGTCAACTGGAACGACTTCGTCGACCAGTCTCGCAATGGCAAGGCCCTGATCGCCGTTGCCGGCGTCATCCACGACATTACCGATTTCGTCAAGGACCACCCCGGCGGCAAGGCCCTCATTTCGTCGGCCATCGGTAAGGACGCCACTGCTATCTTCAACGGTGGAATTTACAACCACTCCAACGCTGCCCACAACCTGCTCTCCACCATCCGCGTCGGTGTCCTGCGCGGCGGCTGCGGGGTCGAGATCTGGAAGCAGGCGCAGTACGAGAACAAGGATGTCTCCACTGTGGTTGATTCGTCGGGCCAGCGCATTGTTCGTCCGGGCATGCAAGTCACCAAGGTCCAGCAGCCCGTGCCCGGTGCCCATGCCGCTTGAGCTTCGGGGATGGATCACTGCCTTCCCGCCGAGAGACGTAAAGGCGCCGGACAGCCGCGGAGCTTTTGCACTTTAGCGAAAACGGCAGTCCACTCTAGGCGGACAGTTGATAGCCACAATGGACGTGATCGTTCGGTCGGCTTGACATCCCCAGCGTTCTTACGGCCTGTCACTCTCACTTTATATCATTTCTTGGCGTTAAGAGATTGTGGACATTCCTTGGACTGTAGGCGATGATTGCTTTTATATTTCTTGGAGCATCTATTCATGACTGCTCTCTATGAGCACAAAATGGAAGAGGACGAGAACCGAAAACCGCGCCTGCTGGCAGGGGTCACGAAACCCTTTGCCGCTTGCCACTATATATACTGATTGCACACGTTCCCGCTCAGAAGACGGTTACCCTTGAGCCTGCCGGTCTCGATGGAGTGATATGCCGGGGTGATGGAGTGATATGCCGGAGTGCTGTAGTTAGATCACATGTCCTCCTACGTGTCACGGCTTGACACGGAGAGCCTCCACCCGCCGGAGCCAAAAGGACTAAAATATCAAAGTCGCCACTGTGATATCGAATGGAGGCTCATACCCTCAACGTGATGCCAGGCTGGAGCGAGGACACGCTACGCCTTAACACTACGTCCAGTTCCAGTCAGCAAAACTGCTCTATTGGTGGAAATGGGCCTCGTATACGCCTTGATGCCAAGCGGGTGTTGATATTGAATCCGGTAAGTAATTTGAGCGGCTCGTGCTGCCGCACTCCTTCGACGAGCAGGGTCCGGCGGCATGGTGACCACGAACTTGCCAATGTGCCGGCTCCGCTGCATCTGCCGGGACGGCTCGGAATGGACGGAACGTTTCAAGATGCCTTCGAGTCGGAGGGGATGTGGCAATAGAAGTCAGAAGCCAACCAGGCCTTACCGTTTCACGGCAAGCAGGGCAAATCGACGCTGATGTCCATGGTCGCACATTGCCTGCTTGAAGATCATAGCGGAGATCTTGACGTCGCTGTCGTCGACCTCTACTTCTGCGCTGGAAGTAGCCCCGAGCCAGAGTCCCTGAAGCTCGTCCAGCGGGCCATACTCTGGCTGCTCTGTCAGCGCCATGCTCGACTGGCAGGTACGATACGCCACTTGGGCCCCTCGCCACAAGATTCTCGGGCCAGGCTGAGAACCGCGGTAAGGGAGAGGATATCAGAATCGCCGACATACCTGGACCTCCGCCGCGCTCGCGCCCCGGCGCCGCTTAAAGGGCGAGGGCGAGGGCGAGGGGGGTTCGTCACCGCCGCCACCGCCACTGCTATGACTGGATTTTCGACTCCGTTTCTTGTTATCCTCGTCGAAGCTCTTCGAGGGGAGTTGGCATAGTCTAAGACGATGCTCCTCCCGCCGCAAGGGCTGGTACTCGCGGTAGCGACGCTCCTCGTCGAGCCGTCTTCTCTCAACTTCTGCCTCGTACAGGGGAAGTTCATCGGGCGAGTGAAAGGTGTCAGCCCGGCGCGAAGAACTCAGTGCCAGTGATGTCTGACCCGAGCGCCTTGCCCAGCCGCTCCTTCAGCCCATAGAAAGGCCACACAGGAACCTTAGTGTATGATACACGCATCGATGACATGCCCTCCGGACCTCGATGTAGTTGTTGGCAGGGCTGCGCGAACCCCTCGAGGAAGTCTGCCCCGATCGAGGCCGTGTACACGATAAAGTCCTTGGCAGCCGCGCCAAATGTGAACAGGCGCACCTCGACATCGTGCATCACGTCGTCGGGCTGACAGGGAGGGTGGTTGTCAGGGCTTCTTGGCGCCTCTGGAGACGACTAAGAGAGCCTAAACTTCCTCCGGCCGGTGGACTTGCTATAGAAGCGCGCCTGGGCCATGGCTAGAAGCACCGCGATAAAGTACGCATCGCAATCTGGATTGCTGGGAACGAGGGCCCTAGCCCGTAGTCGCTGCAGGTTTGCGACAGGGTTGTTCGCGTAGTCGCCGTGCTTTGGGCCAGGCGAGATGGGGAAGAGCGTTTTTCGCACGGTTGCAAGGTGGTCGTGGCCGATGTACGCGAGCAGCGGCGCGTTGCGGTCAAATCGGTTGCGGCTGCTGCGGCTCCCTCCGCGGCTGCCACTAAGACCGAAGTCGCTGGAGCTAGACTCCTGCGAGGATGAGGATATCGGGCGCGTCGCAGCAGAGTCGAATGAATTGCAGCGCCCTTTTCCATATTACGGGGAGTTTGATTGACCTGCGGTAAAACTTGGTTCCGCAGTGCAGGTCGAGGTCCACCGACGTCTTCGTTTTGCAAAGGCATGCCCGGGAAAAAACCACATATGAGATGCTTCAGGGCCTTGATCTTCTTAGCAGGGGCCATCCTTCCGACACAACAGCCCCGCAGCCCCACTATTACTAGTGCAACTGCAGACAGACCACCAGAATCCTTAACAAACGCAGAGTTTTCACGCTCAACCGACCGCAGCTGCGATGCCCTCGCAGGCACCGCGGCGGCAGCGACGCGCAGGCCCCTACGGGACCCTGCGCCGGCCCAGTCAACTGGCCTGGCTGGGTCGCAGCATGCGCCAGACCCACAGCAGCAGCCGAAGCGCCGACACAATGGCACTGGCGAAACAGCAAAGGATGCGGCTGCACGACGCCCACCCGGAGACGGAGCCGTCCGGCTCGACATGTCTGAACTGCTCAAAGAGATGCGGAACGTAGATGTGCACGTGCAGGTGTACAACAACGTGGAGAAGCACTTTGCCCAGATCCTTCGGGATTATGAAAGTGACCAACATGAGGACCATCGCAAACTGGCGATGTCGATTGAGGATGTAGTGTTTGGGCACCTCCGCCTGCAGATGCTAGGCGACAAAGAGCGCTCTCGCTCTCCCTCGCGCTCCCCGCCAAGAACTCGGCTTGCCTCGCCTCCAACCAGCAGTGGCGGGAGTAGGCCTGCCCAAGTACCAGAGCAAGTACCCACGGCCCAGGCGCCGTCGCCGGAGCCGACGACACGTACGTGGGCCACTGTAGCCTCAGCCAAGCGGCCAGAGCCCGCCGCCGCCTCTCCCAATCCGGCACCTAAACCAGGCCTAAGGGCTAATAAACAACCCGACCACCGGATCCTGGTCCGGGCCCGCCACCCAGGCCTCGACACGCGGGAACCCTTCGCCCTCAGGCATAAGACGAGCGAAGCAGTCGGTATGTCCCTGGCGGACATACCGGCGGTCACGCGCACGCCCACAGGGTGGGCGATCAAAGCAGCCAATGCCACAATCAAGGCCAAACTTCTCGAGCCGCCAACACAGGAGGAGATCAAGAAAATATTTGACGCAACGTCAATCACAGTGCCACAAAAATGGTATAACTACGCTGTACCGGACGTGCCCCGGACGACACACACCCCGTGGGGTGGCGAGCCCCCGACGTGCCCCAGTTCACCAAGGAAGAGGTCAAAATCCAATCGGGCCTTGAACCGGTAGACTGCAAGCCGTCTCGCCACGGGCACAACGTGGAAACGGGAACAGCTACGTGGATCATTTCTTTCCTGCAACCTGTCCCTCGACTGTTCACCCTGTTCGGCACCAGCGGCAAATCGCGCTTGGTAGTGAAGAAGCCCAGAATTGAGCTGCATGCCACAGGCTGCCAAGGTTAATGCGATGCCAGGCGGTGCGTCCGCGCCAAGAGATGCGGGCAATGCAGCCGAGAGACCCACGAAGGAGACTGCAATGATCCCCCAAAGTGCGCCAACTGCTGTGGCCCCTTCCCAGCAGGGCACAATGGCTGCCCAGCCGCTCCAAGAGTGGTAAACAACAAAGTTATACGGCTCTCCCAACGGAAACTTAAGGACGTGAGAAAGCACGGACAAGCCCGTTACACGAAGGCACTGGAAACAGCAGCGGAGGCAGCTGATAAAGCGGCCGCCGAAGCAACTGCCAAGGCAGCTCAGCCAGTGGATGCTGTCATGACCGACCGGCCCCCGACAACTACCACAGGAAAACGGGGCAGAGATGATCCAGACGCAGGAGCCATCCTCCAGTTCCTCACTCCCATGGCCCCCCCGGCAGGCAACAACGACACCATCATCGTTTCGGTACAGGCGACCTCCCCCGAGGACGCACAAACCCAACCCCAACAATCTAATGAATAGAACGCCCCGACGTGCCCATCAGCGCGCGGAGCTCACCATAGTGTGGGCTAATGTAGGCAAAAGACAGGTGCCACACCTGAGCCTATTAGAACTATGCCACCAAAAAGATGTGGATATCATCAACATTCAGGAGCCAGCTTGCTACCTGGAAACGAGAACTCAGACACATGGAGGCTACGACCTCTTTGCGCCAGAGGACCACTGGAATGCAAACGACTGGGATGGGCTTCGGTCGATAAGGCCCAGAGTCCTCACTTACATCCGAAAAGGTGCAGGACTATGGGTCTCTCAGCAACGGCCAATCCAAACAAGAGATGCACTGTGGTTGCAAGTGAATGGAATCCAGCTCCTACACATATATAGAGACACGACAAGCAGAGAGGCGCTCGATATAGTATGCGGAACGACGCCGACAGCGCCGACAGTGGTGGGAGGAGACTTCAACCTTGTTGCACAAGCCTACGAGCCCAATCGTACAGACGCACGAGGAGGAGATGAGCTCACCCGATGGGCCGAAGGCAGCGGCATGGAGTTCACCGGAGACATTGGTGTGCCTACACATGAATCCGGAGGAGTCTTCGACATGGTCTTCTCCAATGTGCCCTTCACCACCACAGGTCACAGAGGAGCTTCACACCGGGTCTGATCACGAGACACTAATCACTGTGCTCCCTACCAGAGGAGAACAGCGAGCAGAGGCCATCAACTATGCTGTTCGGGACGACAAACTCGGGTCGTTTGGCGAGCTAGTGGGAGTTGGCATGGCAACACTACTAGACCCCGAACAAGCAAAAGACGGGCCGGCACTCGACTCCTGGGTGGAGGCCTTCAACTCTATGTGGCAGAGTGCTCTCAGAGCCGGAGGCACAGCGGCCAGCAAACGGGGTCGCTCGGCACCTTGGTGGACACAAGACTGCCAAGCCCTGTGGAAAGCATACCGGGCCGCGCGTCGGGCGGCTGAACCACAAGCCGGACCCACCCCAGAGAAGAAAGAGTACATCACAGGCGTACGGAAAGCCAAAACAGACTACTGGCGCAAAAAGATCGATACTATAACAGATGACAAAACGCTGTGGGACGTGGCAGGCTGGCACAAACTGGCACCCAACCTGCGATCACCACCCCTGGTTCACGGGGGGGTCTCCATACATGACCCCCTCACCAAAGCAGAAACACTTCAAAAAGAGGTGCTCGGCCGGTTCTCAAAAGAAGACGACCTAACTGAAGATCCGTTGGACGACTGGCAGCCAGAGGAGACCAAGATCCAATGGGACACATCAGTGTCACCAGAGGAGGTGGAGAAGGCCTGCATTGGGGTACGAAGCACGTCTCCGGGCACAGACGGCATCACTGTCCGCCTGTTTAAAGCCTGCTGGGCAACCATTAGCGGGCCGATACACAAGCTTTACCAGCGCTGTCCGGAGCTTAGCTGGTTTCCTACCCCGTGGAAGCAAGCAGAAGTAGTTATGCTCCCCAAGGTAGGAAAGAAGGATAAAACCAGCGTCAGGTCCTGGCGGCCGATAGCCCTGCTGTCATGCCTAGGCAAGGGGCTGGAACGAGTGTTCGGCAGGCGCATAGCCTGGGCAGCACTGCAACAGGGAATCCTAAGTCCCACCCACGGAGGGGCACTCCCTCATAGGTCTGCAACAGATCTGATCTGCGCTCTCATACACGACGTAGAGATGGCACTAGCGGAGGGAAACGCAGTCACAATCGTAACAAGCGACGTGCAAGGTGCCTTCGATGCCCTGCTCCCCAAAGCCTGCTGAAAGAGATGAGAGGGCTGGGATTTGACATCCGACTCCTTCGACTCGTAGACAGCTTCCTAGCAGACCGCAAGGCTCGGGTCCGTCTGGAAGCAGTCACCACGGGGTGCAGCAGTCTCGACTGCGGCACACCACAGGGGTCTCCGGCATCACCTGTGCTGTATATGGTCTACTTGGCGAGCCTGGTCAGAGCTGGAGGCAAGTGGAGATTCGCATATGCAGACGACATCTTGAACTGGAAGGCCACGCCCAGCCTACAACAGAACGTGGCCGAGCTCCAAGGCGACCTGGGGGAAATGCTCCGGCATGGATCCGAGCGCAAAATCACCTTTGCACCAGAAAAGACGGAGATGATCCACATCACGCGCAGCAGAACTGGAGGCAACCCTGTGCTGCAGGTAAATGGCAGAACGATACAACCCGTTACGACAGTCCCTGAACAATACCCAATGTCCACGGTCCCAGGCCTGCGCTGGCTCGGGTACTGGTTCGACAGGAAACTATCAGGTCGCCGGCACGTGGACGAAAGGAGTGCCAAGGCCATAAAGGTGGCAAGGCACCTCCGCAACCTCGCAGGAGTAAAATACGGACCACCGGCCGCTTCATTGCGGAAAGCAGCAATAGCCTGCGTGCTGTTGTCTGTATCATACGCAGCCGAAGCATGGTACGACCCAAAAAAAAAAAAAAAGGTCTACTAGCGGCCATACAGCGGCCGCTAGTACATGCAGCGCGGGCGGTCCTCCCAGTCTGGAAGACAGCCTCAACGGCAACAATACTCCGGGATGCCGGCATGCCGTCGGCACAGGTGGCCATGGCACACCAACGCCTACGGTATGCGTTCCGCCTCCGCCTGGCAGATGGAGCACACCCGCTTCATAGACGACAGTACAGACGCATGATAGACCGAGGGCGCAATGCAGGCTGCCTCCAAGAGCGAATCTCAAAGCTGCTTAACGCAGAAGCGGAATTCCCGCCACTCATCCGCACGCAACTACTGCCACCTCGATACACCCCTGGGTCTCGCAAGGACCCGACGGGTGGGAAGAGCAAAAAGGAGGCGGCAAAGGACTTTAAAGAGTGGTACGAACGGCCCGATCCTGGCGAAACGGCTGTATTCACCGATGGCTCGGAACAGCTCGACAAAGAGAGAGGTCATTTGGTCGGATATGGGTATGCTGTCTACCGGAACCGCCAGGAGATCGCAAATGACTCGGCAGCATTGGGCGGACTATGCCATCTTCGACGCCGAAACGGTTGGCGCACTGCGTGGCCTCGAAGCTGCGGCACAAGACCCAGGAAACAAGATATGGATGTGTGTGGATAGCACCTCGGTCATCTGGGGTCTTAAAGGAAATGCGTCTCTATCGTCGCAATGGGCATATATCCGGTTCCACGAGCTCGTTAGCGAACTCGAAAGCAAAAACGTGGAGGTGCACATACAATGGTGCCCTGGACACCAAGATATAGAGGGGAATGAGCGGGCAGACCGCCTGGCAGACCAGGGAGCCAAAGGGCCGGTGGATGCTGATCCCCGGGCCCAAAGAGCAACCGTAAGCGGACTCCGGTCCCAGCTCCGCAAAAAGTCACAGCGAATCAACACACAGTGGTGGGAAACCCAGCGAAAATCACCCACCTATGCCCTCTAGGAACTAGGGTACGTACCCACCAAGGAACCGAAAGAGTTGAAACTCACACGCCGGCTCCTAGGGCAATACCTAGCCATGCGGACAGGACACGGAGACTTCCAGGAGTACCATGCCCGTTTCAACCACCAAGACGCACACACGCGATGCCCATGGTGTAACTACCACACATCACCAGAACATCCGGTCCACTGCCCAAACAGCATCAAAAAGTGGCAAGACTGGCCTTGCAGGCCAGCCTTTCGCCCAGATATATATGCCCGGCGCAAATACCTATACAAAACACTGGCAAAACCCAAGTGCTTTGAGAAGTTCGCGGCCGTTACTGGCCACTTTACCCTTCCCCCGCGTGATTAACGCATTGCACCCGCCCTAGTGGACATCCCCCGCGAGCAAAAGCACGCACACATAGACGGCGGACACCGCCGCAAGCTGGTCAAACCTCCGCAAGATTAGTTGCAGGGCCGCAGCAGGCGCAAACATGGAGGCTTTTCCTATTGGTTAGGTTTTCCTCCAAAGATTTGGCGACTATAGTTTGGAAAAATGCAGGTAACATCGGGTCGGTAGGACGACTCCTCCTTCAGGAATCACCCGGAGGTACTGAGGGCACAGTACCACGTGGAGGAGATTAAGACCTGGCAGACAGCCTGTATATAACCTCCCATAGCTTTCCACGCCGTGATACTCCTCGCGCAGTTGCAGCTTGCTGCCCGGCGTTAATAGATACTACTACTACTACTACTACTACTACTACTACTACTACTACTACTACTACTACTACTACTACTACTACTACTACTACTACTACTACTACTACTACTACTACTACTACTACTACTACTACTACTACTACTACTACTTCTTCTTCTTCTTAGCAGGGGCGGCGGACCCCTGGACGAAGGTGCTCAGCTCGGCGCACAGCTGCTTCGCTGCGGTCGACGGCTCCGGCGACGGGGGAGGAGACATGCTGGGATAGCGATGGGGTTCGGGAGCGGGAAAGATCATGGGTGACTGCTCCTTGAACTGCACGTTGAGTGATTTGGTGTGCAGGTCCGCCCAGTAGATCGGCAGTACGTAGAGCCCATGGCCAGAGTAGGCATACATGATGTCGTAGAGGGAGCCCGGCTCGGGGCAAATGTGCGTTTTCCTGGGGCGGTGACGAGGTGGTGTGGGCGACGGCGATAGGGAGGACGTTGACGGCACGGCCGCCGAGTCTGTCGCCGTGGTTATTGTTGCATCATGGGCGGCCGGAGGGTTGGAAATACCTGACGCCGACATCTCCAGGATGACGCGAACCTGCGCCAAGAGCTGGCTGCGGGACATGACAGAACTGGTGTTGATGCGGTGGGTATAAGATTGTGCGCGACGACGCGGGGTCGGGCTGATGGTTTTGATGGTGTTGGGCGAGTGATCAATGGATAGAACGCGCTTGGGGGTGGGCTGGATTTGAATGGGGAAAAGTGCGACCATCGTATGCACCGATTGAATCGCGCGGGCAGTGTGGTGGGCTATGGGCAAAGGTGTGTGTGTGTGTGTGTGTGTGTGTGTGGTGGCGAATGGAAGAGTGCGGGAGCGCAGAGGAAGGTTTTGGGGCACCAACTTTAGTGATGGCATCTGCAACTCATGTGTACGAATCTCGGCCCTAAGTAGGACCTGGAAGGCGGCCGGACATGAAGGTTCGATGCTAATGATGCGCTGGTCCAAACCCGTGACGTGTTGCGTGGGCCGACTGGGCTGAGCAGGGAAGAAACGGTTAGACACGAGAATAGTTTCAGTGAGGGACAAACATAGAGGAGGAAAGGAGTTTAGGCAGGGTGGGCGAGCAAGGTTGGCCCCTTGTGGGCTGGACTGCGTGACAGGCATTTCAAGCTTTTTATAGAGAAATCGACCAACTAGGCGAAAGAGGAAAACGTAAAGGCAACGATCGCAAAGAAGAATCAGGCTCACCCTAAAATAAGGCTTGCCGTCCACTGACGCAAAAGCGGGCGCGTAGGACCTTACTCGCTTGGAAATCCCGACCAACCAACACGTAAAACTAGTAACAGTTGGTTCTATTATATCAAATTCAGCTCATATGAAATAGGTATCGCGGACACGATGGGAAATGCAGCTGGGGATAAAACGAAAGAAATGCAAACACGGTGGCTTAGGGTTGGCGACTGAGGGTGGTCCAGCCCTTATAAATGCGAAAAAGGTTCTGTACCAGGTGGCGCGGCCGCACCCCCACGGCCGGCCAAATGTTCGAGGAAAATGTGAGAGATGTGAGGATTAAGAGATACGGTAGGCGCAGACGCATTATTGGTCGATTTCGCAGGCGCTAGTCGGGCGGCCAGCTTTAACCGCTAGACGCTTACGGCGGAGCAATCGAGGCAAGAGATTGGACAAGCAACGAGAAGGAACTGGACAGTGCCAAGCAAGAGGCAAAGCGAGCGAAGAAAGAGGCAGAAAGGCAAAGCAAGCATTGGATCCGATGGTTCTGGGTAGTTTCTTGCGCGGCAGCCGCTTCTATATGACCAACGGCTTGCGGATCGCCGACACGCCCGATGTTTTGTCATGGTGACGCATTGCGGTAGCCGACTCTAAACCGTGCGCCGGGAGCATAAGGTCCAATCTGGTCCTTCCCGGGCAGCGTGCAGTAAAGATGCGTCTACAAATGCCAACAACAGCCAGGCCACACTTGTGTTGGTTCGGCCAGTTTGAGCCAGCCACTAGGTCCCAGGGAGCAGCCCGTATATTTACGCACGCAAAGTCGCAAAGCCGTCGTTGGCCCAATGGTATCTTCGTTACGAGAAAGAGTTGCTCTAGGAAAACAAACCAAATTACGCGATTTGCCAAACAGCGCCTAACCCATTTCCCTATATGCTTCGTAGCAGAAAAGAGAAAAATAAGGAAGAAAAGTCGACATAAAACAGTAGCAAAGAGCTCATTATCACCTCACGCTTCGAGCAGCGCCGTTCATCATGTCCATCTCTGCGTCTCGAAGCCCTCGACCTTGCTCCGGAGACTCTGGTTATCCCGCGCCAAGGCCCTGTTCTCCCGCTCCAGGTGGGTAATGTACTCGGTGGCCTTGCTAAAGATGGTGGCCTTGTTTAGGTTGTGGGCCGGGACGAGGCCGCCGAGGTCCTCCTCGATATCCTGCACCGTGGTGCGTTGGGCGCTGATGCAGGCAACGGCGTCCACGTCGTCGTCGTCGTCGTCCGTCGCCGCGTTCGCGTTGTAGGCCTTGAGCCGGTGCACCATAACGCGCAGGGCAGGCACGGCGTCGCGTAGCGCCGAGATTTTGTCGTTCAGGTTATTGCGGTACCGCTTCTCGATCATGTTGTGCGCGGTCTTCCTGGGCGGCAGCGCGACGACTGGGGACGAAAGAGAGCCAAAAGGTGAGGTCCAGTCGGTCTCTTCCGAATTTGCCGTGGGCAGCAGCAGCGAGCTGGGCGAGACTGGAGACAAGGGCGATTTCAGCTCAGGTGAGGTTACCGATTCTGCGGTAAAATCTAGAGTGCCAAAGTCCACCAAGGGTGTGTAGAGGCCGGCAGGCGAGAAGTCGATGGTCTGGAGATGTGGTCAGTAAAGTGCCGCTCTGATGGTTTGCCTCTTGGACGAGGAGGAAGGATAACAAGCTTACGGCCTGTTGCTCCTTGACCAGGCACGAGTTGGGAAAGGTGTCATATGGTATTGAGCTGCTAAACACCATGCCAGCCATGTTGGGTGAGATGGTGGTGGAGATGCTTTCCGGTGTTGCTTTGCTCTAGCTGGTTCTTTGCTACTTTGATTACTGGTGAGGAGGTGAGCTGGTGAAGAGGTGATGAGGTAATGGGGTGGTTTTTGGCTCCATCGTGTGGTTTGGGAAATCAAAAGACGAGCAATTATTATAGCCGGCAGGCCGGCCAGTGAAGCCTGAGGCCAGCGGCAGCCGAATCCATAGTCGGCCCAATGCATTACTGGGGACTTCTGCTTGTTTTTGGCGCACGGCCGAACTGATGACTCAGTTTCCAACGCACCAGGCCCAAAACGGCTTACTGGCAGCAGGCAGCAGAGCCAGCGGGGGGGTTAATGTTTTCTGGCTGTGGTCGCAGCCGCGGAGGACCCTGCTATAGCCTAGGCGGCATGCGCCACTCATCCCCACCCACACGGTTTTTGTTGAAGGCCGCGCGGTCCCACATAGTTTCGTCGAGTTATTGAATCTTTGGGATGCCCTGAAGCGTTCGCACCAACAAGGGCTATGCAAGCCGGCGCTTTGTACCTTGGAACGCTCAAGCTATCGAGGCGCATCGAGATCTTCGACTCTCCGTCCCCCTCCCGAATCATCCTCCAGGCAGAGGTAGATAGGATTGGGACAATCGCATCCCTTCGGGGGCTTCGCGCCGCATAGCTACGATTCCCGCTCCAGGAGCCCGCCCAGAGGCTTCTGGGAGCACCATAGTTAAAACAGATTCCGCAGCCAGTGCGGCTGGAAGTGACTTCCGGAATCTGGTCCTTTGCCGGCCTTGGCTAGGCCATGGTTTAACCACCATCAAAGCTTAAATAAGAATCTTAACGTCGCCCTTTTTTTTTCCTGTTTTACGCCCCCTTCAACCTCCAATGCTGCATCCATACACGCAGACGCATCCAAGTTCCGCCACCATGGATGGGCCTCAACAGTCGAAGCCCCGTACCGAGGAGAACGAAAATCTCTTTCGTAAGTACGGAAAGATGCCATCCAGAGGAAGGCTTCTCCACCAACTAGAGGTATTAATATGGCCCAACCGTACTGCTACCCATCGCTTTGAATCTGGCTAACCCGCTCATGGGTTCCAGAGAAAATATTTCGATTCCGGTGATTTTGCGCTCTCAAAGACAAAGACACCCTCCGACGCCGGTGCCGTAATCACGGGCAGCGAGCACCCCACTCGAGAAACAGTAACACATCCCTCATCGCCGGTGCCGAGCTCTAGCAACGTCGGCGATAACGCCGGTGAGCAGCGTAAGGGTGAAAAGCAGGCCGTCGAATTACAATTTGCTAGCAGTCTCCATGGGGTCATAGTTTCTCAAACTAGCAATTTACAAAGCAGGGCCAAGGAGACTGAACAGGGAAGGAGCGTCTAGATGCCGGCCCCTTGGCAGATGGACTAGTGCTACATGGTTATGGATGACGCACATTTACTACCAAACGTGGTGGACACGCTGGGTGGAGTGGCGCAGGCGGTCCCACCGTATGATAAAAACAAGAAAATTGGAGCTGTGGCATCACGGCCAGAGCCAGTTCGATGAATTCTCGATCGATCCGATGACTTTTCTTGGGACTTCATCTCGTCAAACGGCAGGTCTGCTTGGTTTTTCTCAAAATGATGCCGCCTGTACGGTAATCAGCCTTGGACCTCGTGTGCTGCCTCCAACTCTCCGAGGTAGTGGGGCAGGTATGCGACCAGGATGCTGGAGGGTATGAATTGGGAGAACCCTGTTCGATAGCGCAGGCCAATTCACCACCTGGCAATCGGGACATCAGCGGTGAATCGAAAAATCGTGAGTTCAAACGATGGTATCCGCGCGACAAATGAGTCACTAATAGTTACAGAGCAAGTACTCGCAACCTTAGTTGTGCAGTGTGGCAGCCTCTGGCTACGCTCACGCCTAAATAACTACGTCCCCGTCGTTACCGTCAGAATGACGTCGTGATAACTGACATATGACAGGGACGCACCCGCCCGGAACTTCTGATATAGAGGGGCCAGTCGAGATACGGCCCGGTGTGGGCGCGAGGACGATATTACGTAGGCAATGCACAAGCCAAGCAACACAAAGGTCATCAAGGAAACGCCGTTTGGGCGACGACGCTGTCCAAGAGGCCCAGGCCACGCCGCGCCCTGCGAAGCGGCGTGCCTGGTCACGGCCACAAGAGCGTGGAGAAGTGAAGCGGCTAATGTGAAGACGTGATCGGCGGTGCACCGCGGCTGCACTGCTGGCGACTGCCGGGTTTGGGAAATTTTCCTGCCTGAGGCACCCATAACGGAAGCTGTAGGTGGGACTCTACGAGTGTTTCATTAAAGTGATTTTTATCGGCTCAACGACCGGTCTCCTGGCGGTCTCTGCACGCGTGGTAATCCTCCAATCGGGCGAGCTCGGCGAGGCTGCCAGAACCCGGTCGGGCGAGCAGGCCGCTTTGTTTGTTCCTCCGGCTTCCCAAGCTCGTCACGGCTTCACCGAAGCACACTATCCTGGGTCGCGGACCGCGCAAAAAGCACCTTGATGACAGCGGGGTAGTCCCCACCTCAAAATGTGGGCTCGATAACCCCGCACGACGCGGGGTTCTCAAAGCTTCCTACTGCCCACTTGACGGCCTCCAGGTATACTTGTGCGGGCTGAAAACGCCTCGCACAATCGACCCTCTGGGGATTTAGTGCGGTGGTGCAATCTGACGTTTTTTTAACTACTTCAAACTTGGTGGAGATTCCTAACAAACAGAAGTAGTTCACGGTTCGTGCATGTTATCGATAACCTGCTGGACGCCGCCAAAGCATATGAGGCACCCGTTTGTTAAATGCGCTAGTCGTAATAGGAAATGCGCTAATCCCAAATTAAAAACTTCAGATTGTTTGAAAAACGTCAAATTGCACCACCGCACTAAATCCCCAGAGGGTCGATTGTGCGAGGCGTTTTTAGCCCGCACAAGTAGAGCTACGCGGCGGTGCATTTCATGCCTAAGGCACTCATAACAGAAGCGAACCCTTGCCGGCATAAGGAATGCCCACCTTTACAGGTGGAATCCCACCAGTTAATGCGGATCTCATGAAATGATTCCCATTGGCTTAACAAAAGGAGACACAAGCCGCACAGGAGACGCAAACCGCAAGCGGTTCGCCCAAAGGAGCCTTGAGGAACGAAACGAAACTTGGATCCTGCAATTTGGAAGCACTGGAATTAGATAGATGCCCAAAATGTAAGTTTGCTGCGTTTGCACGCGTTCGAATGTTACCGCACCAAGGTTGGGATGGCGCACTTTGGTGGCTTACTCTAGCGTCTGTTCTGAACAGGGTGCACTGGTCACCTGGGTATGCTGAAACGTAATGAAATGTGACCAAAGATGAGGCAAAAACCAGGGATGTCATATGGTCAGTATCTAGATCAAGATTTTGCGTAGTTCCCCTCTGATTTCCATTTTTTAAATTATGGGTAGCTTGTCACAGCTTGTCACAGTTCGCTTCGCATTTTATTGTGGAAAGGAGGGGCTGAAGTACATCCACGATATTCTTCGCGGTTTCGTGTTGAAGAGGGCTAAATTTGATATCTACGTATCCTAGGACTCCATTCGGTTCACTGCGGTCTGCTCCAATTCTGCGTATTTCTTCGGAAGATGGCGGCTGCGATGCGGTCGAGGCCCACTCTCCGACGTCAGAGGCCGGGCTGAGCTGAGAAGGGAGTCGCCAGAACGAGCAGCGGTTGGTGGAGGAGCTGGGACAGACGCGGAGTCTGGGGAGTTCCCTGTGTGAGGGAGGTCGTGTCTGGTACGGGTTATTTCTGGGGTCGTTGATACGGGCGCGGCCGAGGGAGGTCTTGGCAGGTACGTTAGGTCGAGGACGCGAAGGGCCAGACGATTCGTGTGAGCAGTGCGGCCAGCGATCTTCGCGGTGGCGCTGAGAAAGGCGCCCGACGGTGGCGTCTTAACCTTCTGCCAGCGTCTGGTGTTTTCCAGAAAGTAAGCCACAAAGAACTGCACCGGAGCGGCCTTTGAAGCATCATAAACGGATGTTTCGACGGTGAAATGCCGTGGCTCCGAAGGCTCAGGACAGCTGTCGTCACCGGTGCGGACCGAGCCTATGACGGTCACCATGGGGCACCATTGTTCTGGCAAGTGGCGGCGGTACTCGTCGAAGTCGGCTACATCTCCTGGGTGCCTGAGTCGGTCAGCCGAATCGAGGTCGCAGCGGGTGGATGGACGTGCCTCATCAAGCTCAGTGCCTGGATACTGATTTCCAAATCACCGTCTGCGGAAAGGACCGTCGAGAAGCGGCCATCGGCATAAAATAAGGTGTTGGGAAGGTATAGGTCTCGTTCGTCTCGCGTCATATAGACGTGGATGCGGGTGCGAATCGGCTCGGCGATGATATCAGGACTGTAAAAGCCGTCTTCGTCGAAGATGTTGATGTCCGCGCGGATCTCGGCGTAATTCGGAGCGTCCCGAGTCGAATCGTCGGTAATGGTGTCGACAAAATCACGCAAGTGGATGATGCTCGAGAATGTTGGCTGTCGAGACATGACGAAGGTGCTAAGCGGGGGCATTTCGTGTCCGACGCTTGTGGATATCAAGCGTGTGAAGTGCCTGGTAGGTAAGACAGAAGAATTAAGTCGGGTGAACAGGTTTATCCCCGAATCTGGTGAGGCGGGTGCTCAAGTGGATGAAGGAACACCTAGGCACGGCTATATAGATCAGGTAGAGTGCAGGGACGACTAAACTACCGCCCAGGTGACCTGATCACACGAACAGGGAAAGAGACTAACGAGTGCTAGGACAAAATGATAAACGGGCGGACGGAGGAACGTGGTCACGTTTAAAGTTTGAAGCTGAAGTGATTGGCTTGTTAGGCGATGTGGCTGAATTAGCCGGGAAGCGACCGGTGCCCCGGGACAGGGCGAAGGGGTGGGCGAGGGGTTGAAGTACGGGGGAAAGGAAAGGGTGCAATGGTGTAGTCGATGCGTTTTGGAGGGAGTATAAGCAAGGTGGGCTGGAGGGCCTTTTTCGAGGGCCGCAGGTTGGTGTTCTAGTGCCGATAACATACGCCGTCGATTTGGTCGAATTCGATGTCGACGCTGCAGATGCGCGCAGAGCCGTTGCTTTGGACGAAGTCGACTAGATGTATCCAGCTATGGATGCCACCAACGACGCTGTGAACAGGATCCCGGCCGCCGGGTTTGGCGAGGCCGGCGAGGGTGATGTTGAAACCGCTCCGGCTCGAGAGGCCACCGGAGGGCATTTGCTGGAAGGATCGAAAGCCCGCGAAGGCCTGAAGTCGGTGAGGCGTATCTGGGGCGAAGACAAAGTTCAATATTACCAGTGGGCGAATCGAGGAGTAGGGTTTTGTAATAAACTGTTGACGGCGGCTCGCGAGGTGAGAGACTGGGACGAAGCTGTGGTAAAGTTGAACAGGTTAATTCACAGACGAGCCCAGCAAGTCGGACGACGCAAGGTTAAGGAATCGGTCGACCCTATCGAGCCGGACGACCTGGTAAATCTAAAGGCCTGGT